ACTACATAAGATCATCTTATTGTTAATTTGCATTTCTTTAATTCTAATGGAACTTCACCAGAAGTTTCCGGATCATGGTCCAGTTCATTGATGGTTTAGTCAATATTGAACTAAATCTTTAACAAGATGCAAGCCAAAAGAATTTACATGGCTGATTGTAGAAACTAAATTTCTTCCTTGAGACACCTTCATGTCTTACAGAGGGTGTTCCCTGAAGAAACGATTGTTGATTGGAAATATAAAAATCAAATTGCTTCCTGAGTATAACCAAGCCTTACGGATCATTCATATGAGGAATGCCCTATCAATCCTGTTGGTTGCTTACTAGTTTTATTCACCAATTGGCTGTTAATTTATAATATAAAGATCTATCTTGCAAGACACTATCCAAATGTTTAATAGGAACTAGGACATTAGTTAATGTTATTTTGCAAGAGGTATTTAATTCCTGTTCAACTGTGGAATGTCTTTCAACGTACACACCTGAACATTTTGGCTAATGTAGATATTTTCTTTTTCCTTCAGAGAATTAAAAGATAACTCTTAATTTCGGTTCACACCTACTCCTGTGTTTTTCTATCCCAAATTATACACAATCCAAAAGGAACCTCCTTGAACTTCGTCAAAATGTATTTTTTTTTTATTGGCTGTCATTTTTCTTGCTTGCTGTAGGCAAGTTAGGTTGTATCTAGTAAGGCATTGTGGTATACTACAGCCCATTTTAAACATATTGACTTCTGGTAGCAGCAATTATGAGATAAAAGTTGTTTTCAATCTGTAAGTTTATTCAGATGGAAATGTAGTGGGGTGATAAATGCATTTTTTAGGCCAAGATTTATTTTTCTCTGTTAATTATAACATATGATCACTTTAGATGATGTGATTTCTGATTGCACAAGTTTTAGCAGGATATGAATGCTGGCTCGGCCACCTATACTAGTCTGATAGTGTCTTTATGAAAGGTTGCAGTCCAGTAATTTAAGTACTGTAACTCTCCTAACTAGTTGAGCTTAGACTTCTTGGGCTACTTCAATCTTTAACTTGAAGACAATACACGACATGATACACTTGAAAAACGATACATATCGTGTCTCTGTATCGTTTTTACACCGTATCGTACAATATGATGCGATACGTCCGATACATGACGATTTTTTTTTTTGGGCTGAAATGACATCGTTTTACCTTAAAACTTATTTTTAAATTACTAGCTAATGAAACGACGTCATTTCAGTGGTTGTGGTTTAAAAAAATAAAATAAAGTATGTTGTTAATGTTATTCATTTGAGTTCAAAATTTCTGATTAATATTAAAGTTGTTCAAGCAGTTAATATTAGAAGTTTGAATTAGAGGTCTTTGCATTTTGATATTACTCAACTATGTTGGGAACTTGAATAGTTGGTGGAGCTATATTATTATGAGTCTATGTTTTTTTTACAAAGGTATAAATGTATATATATATATATATATATATATATATATATACACACACATTATTAATAATTATTTAAAAATTAAAATTGCGGGTATCTTACGATCCACGATACGATGGGATACACTATTTTTGAAAAACGATACGCCTTCCGATACGTGATTTAACACTATGCATAAACACAAGTGAAAGTTAGAAGCACATAATGGGAGGGTGACTCTCTTAGTAGTCTCAGGCTACAACATTTAGGATGGTTTTGCAGTTATTTTCGCTTGACTTTCTGTATCATTGATTAGCTCTGAAGGATATTTAAATTTTCAGATGGATCAATTGCATGCGTAAGAGTTGAAAGTTATGGTGTTATGTTTGCAGATGTGGTTGCCAGTGGAGATTGCAACATAAAGCCAAATGAAATAGAAAGGATGATGTATTCACAAACTAGTATAAACTTTAGAGTTGCTGAGAAAGTTCCCTTACTTTACTCAGCTTGGAATGATTTACCAACTAAATTTATAAATCGGGAAGGTGAGTTCTCACAAAGTGCTGGCTCGGGTAGATCAAATGTACCAAACCCTCCTCACTTGGAGAACTGCAAGTTGCGTGCCGAAGTAGACCAGCATCTCGATAACCGTGTTGAGAATGAGAACTTCCCTCCATGGACTATCTGGAAGGGAATGTTAAATAACTTCCTCTTAGTATCGACTGATGAGCAGCTGAGGCACTATAGGCATCAAGCCATGTCCGAAGGTGCTTATCCACCCTGGGTATGTTCTTATTATATACTGAAAGTCATTGCTTTGCTCCCAAATATGATTACATGAGAAAGTATCTTTATCTTCACACTTGAACTGGGGTTTTTAACTCAGTGACTTAAATTTGCTAAATTACTCACAAAATTCCATTCTGAATCTATCGCACTTACAAATTGCATACACCTACAGTTCACAATTTGTAGTATCAGCCTCCTCTGCTCGAACAAGAGGAATCTAGCTCATCATTAATTCATGTAACTTTTTGTACATATGCATGTTGTGTTCTAGGAAAATTGGCAGCACATACATTAGTACTTGTTGAACTACCAGTTTTCTTTGGCTTAAGAATGATGTGGGGAGGTGCGCTTCAGACCACACATGCATTCTTGTTTTTAAACATATTAAACTGGTTAGTTGAAAATATATACGTAGAAGTAAATCAATTGTCCGAATTATGATGCATATGATTACTGTAAACTGATCAATTAACTAACGAACTAATATGATGGCATAATTCTTTTCCACTCTTGTAGTTATTAGGTAAGTGGAAAGTCTTTTCTTTGCAACGTGAATGTCTTCTGAATTCTTTTTTGTTGCATATTATATGCACCATTTTAAAGTGTTAGGGGTGTGTGTGTGTGTGATGATTATGGCCATCAACATTTTACAAATTTAAGGGCTGTCACAGATCACGGGATCAGATGAAGAAAATTATCCCTTTACGAGGAAAGTGCAACGCGACATTTGGCTCCATCAGCATCCATTGAACTGCAGTGATCCTAGTGTTAAATTTCTAGTTGCTGACTGGGAGAGATTACCCGGATTTGGTATCGGCGCCCAGTTTGCTGGAATGTGTGGTCTTCTTGCCATTGCAATGAAAGAGAATAGAGTACTTGTTACAGACTACTACAATAGGGCTGACCATGATGGTTGTGAAGGTACAATAACATATCAGTAGTGCTTGTACATAAATCTTCCTGCGATATATCTTCTGGCATTAGACACTTATTCCTTGAACTTGGAGGGGGTTGGAAGTGCAATATCAATACTCAAAAGTAGGACTCTATCTTGTTAGAGCAGTCAACCCAAAACCAAAAACCAACTGGCAATGGATGGATAGGCTCAACCATATAAACTAACTTGGAGTGATACTCATATTTGGTTATTTGATACAAACATTCTAACACCCTCCCTCACTAATGGCCTAAGCTCGCAGGTGGACTAACAAACTGAACCAAAACAAATTCACAATCAAATGGGTGAAACCTGACCCATTGACCCAGGCCCAACTTTGATACCATGGTACTAAAAAATGCATTCTTCTTTTCTTTATTTTAATAGCGGGATTCAACCGAGATACCATGCATGTTCCTAATTATATTACGTGACTTGTAGAATATCCACCTTAATGCAATTTTTTCACTGGTGAAATATATTTTTTCTCTACTTCTTGTGTCTTCATAGGTCTGTCACGCTCTAGTTGGTCTTGCTACTTCTTTCCAGAAACATCTGAAGAATGCCGTCACCATGCTTTTGAGCTTATGCAGAGAAAAGAAGCATGGGAAAAAGGAATTATAACAAGAAAAGACAATTATACTTCTAAAGAAATATGGGCTGGTCGAACTCCTAGGCAAGCTGTTGCACATCTTCCTCGTTAGTTCTGCGATATTTTATGCATGCAGAATGTGATTATATCATCTCTTTATGTGACTAGTGTTAACATTACACTACAGGAAATGGGGTAATCGTTGGAGTTATCTGCAGCCAACAACAGAAGTAAATGGAAGTCTGATTGCCTATCATCGAAAAATGGATCGGAGGTGGTGGAGAGCGCAGGTACAGTTAGAGGTTCCTCTGGAAATGGAAGGTTTTGTGGGTTTTAGACGAATAGAGCATTTTAATTTGTCATATTTATAGACTCCACCCCTTTGACATATACATAAATAATCATTAACATATCTCTACTAGGGAGAAATGATTTACATATCTCTGCAAGGGAGAAATGAAGTACATTTTATCTTCTTTATTACCAATCTTGCCGTGATGACCAAAAGTACATGACTAAATTTCTTTTCCCTCCGTCCTTGCAAACTAAAGTGGAATGATCCAGATTGTCCAATTTGAGAATCAGGAGAAATGATGAGTTAATTGAAAAGCAGATAAAACCTTTTGTCTATGTTGCTCAGTTTGATTGACATGATAGGTATGTTAATCTGTTTGGTTAAGATGATAGTGCTGGAGGCCCAGGAGAGTAAGCATTGAGTGACATGATGTGACGCCTGCCTCAGGATTATATATGTAGAACTCCCCCTATATGGAACAGAGTTCAGAACATTGGAGCTCTTGTAGATTATCATCCTGCCCCAGATGGTCCATTGAAGCTCTCATCGATTGTCATCTTCCCCAAAATGAATTATATCAAATTTAAATCAACTTTAAATTACTGGTTGTCCCCAAATAGTGTAGTAACCATTAGAGCATAAGTTGCATTTTGTGAATGATGGTAAGAAATCAATAATGTTTGCTTTCCTTGTGTTTTTAATATAATTGCATTAATGTTTATGTCATTGTCAGGCTATGCGCTATCTAATGAGGTTTAAGACTGAGTACACATGCAACCTACTAAATATTGCACGGCATGCAGCATTTGGGTGGGAAGCTGCAAAAATAGTTGCTGCAACTCCTGTTGAAGAATTGCAAGAGGTATGTTAATCTAGAACCTTATTTCTTGTATGCTTTGGAGAAGATGGAGAAAAAACCTGAAAAAACCTGGATTAACATTCCTTTGCTTTCTGAAAGCAAAGTTAGTCCTTGTTAATCAAATGGTTCCTTTGCTTTCTGAACTTCATAATGTCCATTAAATGAGTTATGCGCAAACTGTCACTACAATGTTTAGGAGGGTTATGTCATATTTATTCTTCATTTTTGTTGTGATCACTGTTCTTCACTCATTTTAGTGCTATGTTTTTAACCTTGACATTGGATGGTTATGAAGAATACCGTTTACTTTCAGCTTGATAGGTTGTTCTTACCAGATTTCTGTGGATTAGGTTCTGTTTATTTGCATGAGAGGGAAAACATCATTTTTTCACCCAGGAATATATTCTTGTATTTAAATATGCCAAGTTACTTGGAAGAGATAAAGTGATGCTAAATTGATAACAAGAAATTTATGGCAGTGTCGCCTCTTGTGGACCCTTTTTAAAACTCACTTGAGCAAGTATGTCAATTTTTTATGCATTTAAACTTTTTTAAAGACTTTATAAACATTATAGTTGTAGCGAGTGCCTTTGTTATTCCCTCCGGTTCTATGCCATGTAGTCTTCAAATAAATAGCTTTTGTGCAGTATTGAATTGCTATGGTGATCAAAATAATTCCACAATGGATTTTCTTAGACAAATACTCAGAAAACAAAGTGCAATTTTCCCCTTAATTCCGGTTGTTGTCAGGAATATAAGCATAATATCTTCCTGATCTGAGTCTTGAAACCCCAACGTGACTAGTAGATTTTCTCCTATGCAGGATGTCGGAGACAAATCTAGATATGACATTGAAGAATTTGTTTGGTCAAGTCATAAGCCATGGATCCCTAGGCCGTTGTTAAGCATACATGTGAGAATGGGAGACAAGGCATGCGAAATGGAGGTGGTAGAATTCGAAGTGTACATGCAACTTGCTGACCGCATTAGAAAGCGTTTTCCTCATCTTAACAGCATCTGGCTCTCCACTGAAATGCAGGTTTTACAATTTTGTATGCTGAGTTATTCTTTTTTTCCTTGAAAGATAGTTGCTGTTTATGCTTTTGTATGGATTGGAATTGTAAATTGTGTTACTGATCTTCAGGAAGTGATTGACAAATCAAGATCGTATGCCCATTGGAAATTTTACTACACGAATGTGACACGACAAGTGGGGAACATGACTATGGCAACTTATGAAGCCAGTCTTGGCAGGGAAACCAGCACCAACTATCCTCTAGTTAATTTCTTGATGGCCACTGAAGCTGACTTCTTCATTGGAGCATTAGGTTCTACATGGTGCTTTCTCATAGATGGAATGAGGAACACCGGAGGAAAAGTAATGGCTGGGTACTTGAGTGTCAACAAAGATCGGTTCTGGTAGGGAGTTTTGTAAATCTGCCAGCTTGGAGTAATTTGGGATAATTAGTGGCTTGGCAACTTCAATGTGAACAATGAGTAAATATTCACGTCATCACTTCTTGGTGTCACCGTCTAATAACAAACAAAACTGTGTGCGGGGGAAGGAGATATATGTATAGATTACATATCTCCACACGACCCAAGAATATCCAACACAAGATGCAGCAACTTGCCCACTACACTGTGTGGAGTGATATTTTACTCGAGGAGAAGGATGGTTCTGCCGACACCTAAAGATGGCTATCAACCACATGGGTGCTATATTACTTGTGATATGGGTGTTCAATTGTGTGGGTCACTCTGTTTTCAAAGACTAAACAGTACAAAGCTTCCTACTGGTAGCAGCATGTAAATATGTGTACAATCTTTGTTTAATTGTTTTTGGGTCATATTCGTATATACGTTATATATATTACTTTTTGCTGTTTTTGTTCTCATAATAATCAAGTGCATGGAAACTATTATCTTATCTTTGTTGCAAGGGTAGCTACACTTTTTTGTGAAATGACCAAAAATACCCTTTATTCCTATTTCCTATAACAATAGGCAACATAGCATTGACTCCAGTCTCCATCACTCATTAACTAATAGTCATGAGTCTCATTTCTTGTCGCCGTAGTTGGACCATTTCCTATGGACCTCTCCATTAGAAAATTTTAAATTTAAAGGAAGTGAAATTCAAATTTAAATAAGGATAAATTTAAATTTAAAAAAAGATAAAATATGATCATTGGATCTTTAAAGAAAGATGTAGTCTCATTATTAAATATTTAGGTATGTATTTGAATCACTTTTGATTTAAGTAGAAAAATGAGTCTTCTTTCATTTAAAGAGTAGGGGTGTCAATTTTGATATGATGATACGAACATAACATGAATGATTATAAACTTGACACGATTATTAAATATATATAATAAATAATTTATATTAATATTTAATACTCAAAACACTATAAATAGATTTTTTTTTGTGTGGATCTTGACACAATATGACACGAATAACACAACACATAGATCACACGAAGACGACATGATTTAAACCCCTATTTAAGAGCATCACCAACACCGACTCAAATTTAAACTCAAATTTAAATTTGAGTAAAAAAATTCAAAAAACTTACTCCAATTTTTCACTCAAACTTATACCATATTAAGGAAGACTCAAATTTTTACCTAAATCTTTAATTGTGATATTTCACCCTTTTTTAAAAATTCAATGGTTATGTTTACTCTCTTTTAAATTTGAGTTTGTCCGCATTTAAATTTGAGTTTCTTATTTAAATTTAAGTTTGTCCATTGAAGTTCTTTGTATCAAAATAAGCTTTTTATTCAAATGTTAATTTAAATTTGAATAAAAATTTGAGTCATAGTTAGAGATATTGTGAGTCTAATATTGGAGAAAGTGTTTAAGAATTTTTTACTTAAATTTAAATTTAAATTTTAAAAAAAATAAGGATCGGAGATGCACTTAAATAGGCATCTTTACTTTTACACAGCAAAATAAATACGAGTAAGGCTATACCAACTAACTAAGTTAATCTCCTAGTTTGTTGACCATTGATATTCATTGGCCCTATCTAAATCTATAATATTAATAAAAATACTTTAATATAAAAAAATTTGATTCACTATTTTACCCTAATAAAGAATTAAAAAGACTACGCTATCCTTCCCCACTTAATATCTAAATTATTATCATATCCTTATGTATTTAAATCTCCAAATTATATTTAAGATCACTTTTAATTATATATTCCCTATGTATAAATGTTAATTTTTATAAAAAATCTTGATTGATTATATTACTCTTAAAAAATATATGCATCATTATAAGTTCTAATAAAATTGTAACGCCCCAAAATTCACCTTGGATGACATTACTATTTAAAATCATTCACATCATGAGAACAACTAATAAAGTCCATAAATAAGGCAAATTTCATTCATCATACATAATATTTACAACATTATCCAAAAGAATATGTCAAACCTTGACATCTACATCCAAAAAGAATATGTCAAACTATGACTATTACATCTCAAAATTACACTTAATCTTGCAGCGGAATAAACAAAATAACATCTATCCATTTTATCAAAATGTATCTCCTAGTCTAGGACATGGAGAGATCAACTCTAGACATCCCCTTCGGGATCCACGCTTCCATCCAATTGCGCTTCCCAAGCTACCTGCTCATCAACTCCAAGCTCTTCATCTAAACCGACATCTGAGAATAAATAGTATTTGTAGGGGATGAGCACTAAGTTCTGTAACAAAATCCTCACAAACTTGAATAAGGTTTAGAAAACATATAAATATAGTTCGGTTTCATTTTCCAAAATATTATATATAACTTGAAATAAAACAGTGACAATTTATTCGATCTCAAGTTAACGCAATAGCAATAAGTTAAATGAAAGAAATAAACATGTGAAGAAATCAATTAATCATTCAATAGCATCATTTCATATTCTCATGTATGTTGGTTGCTTCCCATGAATTTACACGACGATGCTACCTTGTTCACCCATCATAACCACACAAACCAATTTAGGAAGGGCGTATACCGTCTCCCACAGCATTGACGAATCCTTCCAAGAAAAAATATACTATCCCTCAGCCTCGAACTTACATGAACAATAGTAGTTACTCTCACAAACAACAATTCACTACAACTGTTAGGAAACCATCTTACCCTCACTAGGATAGACTAACCTCTAACACTTTACGGTAGTTCTCGAATATAATTCAAGTCCATCACAGCAAACCATACAAAAGATGCAATACCAACCATTTTCTCAAATCACAAGTAAATTCAAAACCCCCAATTTCATAAGTATTTTTCCAACATAACAATTCAATAAAAATAAGCAAGAGATCATCAAAAGATAGGCATTTATTGTTCCAAGCAAAGCGCTAAAGTTTTTGAATCAAGAACAAGAGGATATCATGAAGAAAAATTCATTTTTTTCCAAGTTATACAACAAGAACATGAATTTCTTGGGTTATCAAACCATAAATTCTTTCAAAACATGGTAAGATTTGTAAGAATATCAACAATCAAGGATTTTATAACAAATATATATGATTAAGAGTCAAAACATATGTATATATAAGTCCTAGCCTCAATGAACAAGAGTGGAAGAAAACCTTTAACTTCTTCTTCGTTAGTGTTCTTGAAAAATTTGAGATTTTGATCCACTTCAAGGTTCAAATCCCTCTTGATCTTGTGTATTTCTACCTTTCTTTATTGTTTCTCAAGGCTTTCTAGGGTTGTAAATGGTGTATGAAGGCTAAAGGAGGCGTTCTTATGTATTTTTAAGAGGCCAAATGGTCCCCCTGTGTGCGAATCTGAAAGTCAAAATTCGTAGCTCACGTTCGAACGTCATTGACATTCGAACGTCCTTTTGCTCCCAGTACTTTTGTTTTTCCATCAAACAAAAAGTACTGTAACGTATTATCGTTCGAACAGACTTTCACATTCAAACGTAGGTCGTTCGAACGTCATTTCACGTTCGAACGGACTTCCTGTTTTTGCTAAAATTTCTAGTGAAATTTTGGCCTATTTAGAGGTCGATTTGAAAAATTTTCATAAAAATATACTTTTGTAGCCCCTAGAAGTCTACTATCTACTGTCAAAATTTCAGATCAAATGGACATTAGAATAAAAAGTTATGATCAAAATACTAGGCAGTGTCTAAAATCTTTTTTATCCAAATTTTGTCTAAAATGTGTTTTCACTCTGAAATACTTCCAAACTTCTATAACACACTCTATTACCTCAACTAACATTTTATCTCTACTTTTACAATCCACCTAGTTCATGCATACATCATTACATAAATTAGTATTTCAAAACATAATTACGCTGCTATATAAAGAATAGAATGTATGGGTTTACAAAAATATTCAAAAATTTCATCAATATAATATTATTCACCTTATTTATAAAAGTAATATTATGATTACATATTTATATTTTATTTTTCATTAAAATGTTTAACCCTTTTATTTTTAAGATAAAAAATAATGTATATAAAGTTTTATATGATTTTTTAGTCACAATAAACTTTTTAAACTATGTTAACATTTTTTTGTGAAAACTTGATTTTTTAAAAAAAATTTAATATGTTTTATTATATATATTATAGTATTGTATATTAAAATTTATCTCAATTGACTTAACTAATCCTAAATATAGTAAAGTTCAAATACGATTAGTATATTGATAATTATTTTTATGTTATTTAATGATTTATAAGTGGAATACTAATCAAATTAATTTTAAAAAATTTAATTTTCAAACATCACTAAAAAATCACTTTTAATTACAAAATTATAGAAACAAAATAGAACTTTAATTGTTTCTTTTCTTTTTTTATTACTTTTCTTAAAGTTAGAACAACAAATCTTGAAAATACACAAAGTTTTTAAAAATTCTATAGTGGAGCATGAGAGATGAAAAAATAAGTCTGATAAATTTGAGATGATATTTAATTTAAATATACATATCAAATATTTATTTATTAATTTTTTTTAAAAAAAATTATGCACGTGCAATGAACGTAATGTATTACTAGTATGTTACAAAAGGATGCTGGAATCTCCACATAAGGAGAATTGAATTTTGAAGTAATCCCAGAAAAAGAAAAAACAATGAAGCTTAAACAGAATGGATTTAATTAAAGCACTATTTCACAACCGTACCCATCATTTAACACGTCTTACCAATTATATTGTTTCTTTGTTGGATAAATAATATAAATCCCACGCTGGTTTCAATTTTATTTGTCAAATATTTATTACTTAAAATTCTAACCACCAGTCTCTTCCATTTAGTTCCTTTCTTAAAAGTATTAGCAATGCACGATTTGCGTTGCACGTGAAATTTTGTTAAAACATTTAATAAAAATACATAAAAAAATTTAATTATGTAACTACATTAGATATTATCTCATATTTATCATACTTAAATTGCGTGTATTCTCTTTATAATTATGAACATTCAATTTATTCATTTTTTGTGATTCTTTCAGTCGAGCTACCTACTAGTAAGGTTTATAAATTTTTTTGTCTCGATTTTTTTTTCTTTTTGTTTTTTTTTTTTTACTTTGTGCATCAATAATTTTTTATCAAATTATTTTGATTGTGAATAAAGATATTAGATAAATATAGTCGTTTTTAGGCATTGGAGATAATATTATATCAATGGAGTTGTTAACATGTATTAATATTGGGGTTTTAAAAAAAAGAATAAAATTATTTTTATATATCATGTTAATCATAACATGACCATCCAAAAGTTTTGCAAAGATATATAGATTTGCATGATATGTTAGAAATTAATTTATTATTTAAATAAAAAGGGGATATAATGATAATTTGTATATTTAAATACAAAAAGATATGCTAGTCTTTATGGTTTTTTATAAGGGCAAAATAGTGAATCAAAAATTTTTCATGTTAAAATATATTTATTAGTAGTATACTAAATTGTGCACACGTGCCTTGCACTTGCACTTTTTGAGTTATGATTTTGTTTTTAAAATAATTAAATAAATATAATAGCAAATACCTACTTATAAATATAATCTTTTGAATATTCCTATTATATAATTTGTGTAATTTGTAATAGACATAACACTACATATTTTCATTGCGAATATTAGTTTTTTATTGTTTTATTTTCTCTTAAGTTTTGATGAATTATTTTTTTTATATTTTACTTTATTATATAAATCAATTTTATGATACCATCATGAAAGTTAGTTTGAATCACAAAATTCAACAATTGAATGCTACTTATCATTGTCAAAATTAATCTATGACAATATATTATGGACCACTTATCATTAATTAGAGAGTGGTTTCCTGACTAGAGCGGGGCAATATATCTATATAATAAAGTATAATACAATTCAAATCTTAAAAAATAAATAAAATAATTTTTGTTTTCGCAGTTGAGATCTCTTTAAATTTTATTTTAAAGTTAATATGACGCCTAACATCAACACTCTAAATTTAACAAGGAAAATAAGCCTTTAATAGTATGTTTTGGGTGATTTTTTAAAAGTGCTTGTAGGACTCATAATTTCTTATGAATACTCTATTAAAAAGAAAAAGTAGTATTTGAAACCACTCCACCATCACCACCCCCACCACCCTCGCCACCCCACCTACTCAACTACCCCCACCATCACCACCACCTCACTACCACCCCCACAATCATTACGACCACCATAACTATCGCTGCCACCACTTCTACCACACAAAAACCATTATCACCACCGTCATTGTCCCACCATCACCCTTACAACCACCACCCCTATTGCCTTACCACCATTCCCACGATCATCACCACTATCACCATTGTCATTCCTCTACCACCACCATTACTGTTGTCGTTACCCCACCACCACCATCACCCCTACTACTGCCACTACCCCTGCCCCACCACCCACCCCCACTGCCTCACCGCCAACTACCATCAATTATTTTCATCGTCATCCTCCATTACAATCCATCATTGATTACTACCACCATCACCCACTGTCACCCATAATCATATTCCTCCATCACCTCTCATTGCCCACCATCGTCGCCAGCCATTGTCACCCACCTCCACCATTTCTACCACCACCACCCGTAATCGCCCCATCATTGTCGTCACACCCATTGTCACCCACCCCCACCCCTCCCACCACCACAACCACCACCATCACTACCTATAAACACTCGTCGTCACGCACCACTATCATTGTCGCTACCTACCACCGTCGTGGCCTCACCACCACTACTATCCACCACTATTATTGTCGCCCACCACCCACACCCACCACCGTCGTCACTCATAATTGTCACTACCACCATCGTCACTCATAATTGTCACTACCACCATCGTCACTCAAAACCTACCACCACCGTCACTGTTGCCCCACGGTTGTCACCCTCACCACAGTCATCACCATTCACCATAACCATTATTGTCCCCTGTCACCACCATCGTCGCTCGTTTTCATTATAACCAATGCTTAAATTCCTTCCTTTTTTCTATGTTTGTAATTTAATTTTAAATATGAATACAAATATACTTATTGTTAATCATTTTTTTTATTATTTAATACTTTTAGACACTAACAATAACTAATTTCTAAATAAATCTACTTAACCAGTTTTGATTTTAAACAATATTGAATCATTAATAATAGTTATATAATAAGAATTAGCTCAGAAACAAGCTTTGAAGAAAAAACAAAAAGGAGATTCTGTTGCTCACCAATTTCACATCACATAATAATACTACGACAATGAAGAAGCTAGGATCTTCTTCAGCAACAAGAAGCAATCTCCTAATAATTTCACATGAACCAACCATTCTACCACACCCGAATGAATGATAGAAGCCATACATGCAAGGTATGGGCTTTACACCCCCTCTTCTTGTACAAGATCCAGAAGGAGCATTGTACCGATAAGAATTTTTTGTGCCCCTATTCTTCCATATCCTCACTCACCTGACGGCTACCATCCGGATTTCTGGCAGCCGCTTGTTTTTTATGTTTCTTGCTCTTTGCTCTCTTGGCTTTCATCCGACGTTTTTTCTCATTTGCATCAACCCAAGCATAATCTAATGGTATGAGGAACGGGTCAATCTCATCCCTGAAGCTGCGACTTTCACCATCGCTTGATTGCCCACCACGGCTTCCTCTCATCCATGAAATCCACGATGTGGACCCTTCTGAGTCCTTAGACTTGGCATCTTGGAAATGTGCAGGGCTGGAAAGAGGAGTTGAGAACTCCTCCGCTGGCTGAAGCTCCTCAAACTTTGTAAAAGTAACAAGGACGCGAATGGTTGGGACAATTGGAATAGCAACCTGCAATGAAGAATTTAAGAGATGAACAATATCATTCAGAAATAAAAATGGAATACAAATTTACTCAGGCTTATTTTTTTTTCGTAAAACCAAAACATTCAAATAAAAAACAAATGATAAAAAAATACAGCTATAGGACCATAAGGAATAGAGACTGCTTCACTTAATAAAGCAATTCCTCCTGATCGCTTAAGATTTTGTAAGACCAGATTTCCATACCAACGTTTTGTAGAAAAACTACTCTGCAAGGACACTCAAATACAACATCCTATTTGTTTGCCATTTTTCTGCCATAAATTTATGCAGTAAACTAACCAATTCCTCTTGATCGTTGAAGATTCAAAACAATGAGATTTCCATACAAAAGTTCTTCAAAAACAATTATAAGATAGCCATAGAAATTGTATTCAGGAAGAATTTCAGGCCTAGGAAATATTACACTGAACATTCATGACTGTTGCAACAAATGTGTGGAAATAATTGTCAAAAAAATGAAATATTCTTAGCTAAAATGACCAAAAATTTCTTATTTAGAAAAGTAACAGAGACAATTAGATATGTTATAACTTCAGGAAAGACTAGTCAAATGGTATCGGCCAAATAACGACGACTCGGATGACTCGAGATTAACTCGAAAATGTCTTGGATGACTCAACCAAGTCACTTTAGACGCGTGGTTTACAAAGAAGGTATAACGGTAATGGAAGGTGCCGCTTTGGATTTTAAAGGGAAAATAAAACTAACAATTAAACTAATTCAATAGTTTATAGCATAGGTACATGTAATATAACGGAAATGGTCAATAACACAACATTAAACTCATACCAGAAACATCAAGCCTTAGTGACAGAAAGTAAACTGTATCATGCCATCTGAATCCTGTAACTTATGTTAATCATATAGCTGATATTCTGGTGATAGAAGCTGGTATAGAACATGTCAAAACCTAACCAGTTTCTCACAATTGGTCTACTACATCACCCACAGAATTTAACTGAAGCGGCTATGAATTTTACAACTGCTAAGTGCAAATAAATGTGGAACTTATGGAAAATCACAAAGCCAAAATGAGTCCTTATTGACAGAACATTCCTGCACCATGCCTGCCACATGGTGTTGAACTGCTTCTATAAATGATAGATGAATCAAGTAGAGATTTAATCTCAGGATTTCTATAAGTAAAGAGTCATATGGCAACAGCAGCACAATTCTATAATACTTTTCTCAGTCTTATGTCAACTTCCTTAAGCTCCTTACTCCCTTACCCACTGAGCATTTAGCTTTTAGGTGAACTCCTTTGTTATGCTACGCATATGGTTACAAGTTCTCTATTAAAAAATGGATTAATAAAATTTGAAGAACATTGCTGCACAGAATTTTTGTTGAGGCAAGATGCTTCACAGAGTACAGACCCTCAGCGAGATTCAGAACTCTGGAAGGAAGACAATAGCTGGAAATAATTTCTCCATAATCATAATCTATTTCTTGTTTATTTGTCCAATTTAAGTGAATCTCCTAATCTACTGTAGGGGAGCCCAATTCTTCAATTAAGGTAGCATGCTTAAATAGCCTTCATACCATAGCGCTTTACTCCATCATCAATCTGCATATTTGAATTACAATACATACACTGGCCTCTCTCAAACTAGAAACTCTGTCATAGATAGACTCCATTAATATTCTGCTACAATTTTCCAAAAACAAATTCAAATCACTTAGTTTTCAATTCTCTAAATAAGTAATTAAATTGGCTATAATCCTCAAATATCTGGATAAGTAACTAAAATGCCAATCGACCAACATCAAGAGGCGTCTTCTGAACCTCTCCGGAGGGAAGACTCTGTCCAGAAAAAGATTGACAAAATTCTGGCATGCTAACATTCAAGATGGGACAACTCTGGAGTCCCCACTGATTCCTATGACTGAGAATAAGAAGAACACATGCTCATAAGCACATTCATTCTCAACCTCTCCAGAAGAAAAGTTCGAATGTCATATGAACACACTGTAGCTATAACAAAGTGAAGCATTTAAGAGCTTCACAGGAAAGTATTCTACTAAAGAAACCACCTTAGGAATTCACTTCAAGAATAAGGGCCATTAAAAATTTTCAGTGGTCCTCCACTGAGTGCATCTGATAAAAAGCACAAGTGGCTTCCACTTAGACACGCCTTGATTTTACATCAAAAGGCATAATGTTACTGAATTTTGAAAATACTGCAATATTTTAGCACTAAATTAAGGATGCTGAAGACTTTAAGCAGCAAAATGCCCACAACTGGAAATCAAGGATGAAATTGTGAAGTAAAGTGACGTCCTTTGTTTGGTAACAAGTTTGGTCTCCCAGACATAAGTTTCAAACCCTTACAAGTGAAATTCATACGTGTCATCAAATGCACTTAATAGAGAAACCAGGGACGGAGGCAGGAAAATCTATGAGGGGGGGGCAAAATATAACTGAAAATAAGTCTTTAGTTGATACAAAAAATTAAGACTCGAGAGAAAATTATCATGAAATATTAAAATCAATTTTTATCTAGTCGAAACAAAATTTGAACAAAAAGACCAATATTTTTTTTAGTACATTTTAACCCAATTATATATTTTAATTAAATACAATGTCCTTTAAAATTTTTAAAATTTTGTATATTAATTAATGTTAATTTTTCACTAATTTTCTATCAATGGACACAATCACAAGTCCATAGTAAAATTATTTTTCATTTAGTTGCAAAACTTAGTTGATATCATTATCGATCTTATAGAGAAATTTCCTACTCGAAATAGTTTAAAATATTTTTGAGTTATAACCTTTTGTCATTTGTATACAATCATATTTTATTGGGTTGTAGTCTAGGAAGCACGGATGTAGTATTCGATACGATACGGACACGAGAATACGATAAAGTTAAAAAATATGGGTCATAGATACGGTAAGGATACAGCTATTAAAATAATATAATATATTTTTTAAATAATAATAAAGTTGTAATATATTAAAAATAAAGTATAGATTATAACAATATTAATAATAAGACATAGCAAATATTATTTTTTTGATTAAAATTGAAATAGATCAAATTAAATATCCACTATTTTCATCAAACATCATTGCATCTATTAACATTCATAATATATAAGTTAGGTAACAAAAAATAAATTTTTAATAGTTAAAAATTATTTTTTTTAATAAAAAAATTTTTAGCCGTGTCCTAGACATATCCTGATCGTGTCTGATACTGCCACGGCACCCCTGTAAGAAGTATTCGTGCTTCCTAGGTAGTAGACTACTATATACTAAAAAAATAGCAAATGATAACTAAAAATTATTCTTAAAAATTAGCGAGCATTGTTTTAAATAAAAAGAAATATTGTATTTCGGTCAATATACAAATAAATCAAGATAATTACATCTGATTTATTCAATCCAAAAATAAAACATTTATTTTAGAGGGTTAGTGGACCCCTAATTTATGAAAAAAAGAAAAAACTAGAACCATTTTTAAAAAAAAATTGGATTTTTTTTTGTGGGGGGGGGGAACTGCCCACCCCTGTCCCCACGTGGCTCCGCGCCCTGGAGAGAAAACACTTAATCTTTCCTGTTTCTAGAACATAATAGGGTGGCCTCAAGAGAACTTAAGTAACCTATTCACCGAGGAGGTTCTGTCATGACCTGTTAACCTCTAGAAACGAGAAATTAATATATATTTCTCTCCTGACTTTCAAATTACAATATCAAACTAGTAGCCTCTAAAACCTAGGGAACTATCGCTAGCCCACAAGTGATTCAATTTTCTTAGTCCAAGATTGTTGAAAAGACAAGTTCCATAGAAGTAGAAGACCAGCTGCAGCAAAACCATCAAGGTGATCCCTTTGCAGCTGGATCAAAATTGCAGGACTAGAATAATAAATATTCTGCAAGATTTTAGTTCTGGTGGGACAGTCAAAATGATTCCACAAGGAAATGCAATGCCTCGTGCTGAGAATCCTCCATATAGTACATGTTAAGTGTGGAGAATTAACACAATATTAGAGAAAACAGAGAGAGGTTAAAATTTAACCTACCTCTCATACATCACTTATATTTATAGTTAACCTACAATAATAAGAATTACATATACATCCTCTTACTATTAACAATTTATACATACTACCCTACTATTCTTAACACTCCCCCTCAAACTGGACTATATATATCATATAATCCAAGCTTGGAACAAATAGCTGTAAGACGTGTACGGCTCAATATTTTGGTAAACATATCTACAAGCTGATCTTAAGATTTCACAAATGGAGTTGTAATCTCCCCGGCTACTATCTTGTCCCGAATAAAGTGACAATCAACCTCAATATGCTTGGTTCTCTCGTGAAACACAGGATTGACAGCGATACGGATAGCTGTCTGGTTGTCACAGAACAACTGTAAAGGAAGTTGAACTGGAGACCCAATTTCCTGGAGGAAGTGTAGTAGCCAAGTCAACTTAGTCGTCGTATGCGTCATTGCCCTATACTCAGCCTCAGCACTAGATGTTCTTACCACAGATTGCTTTTTGCTTTGTCATGAGACAACGTTACCTCCTAAAAAAGTACAATAACCAGTGGTTGATCTCCGATCAGAAGGAGAGCTAGCCCAATCAGCATTTGAGAAACCTTCCACTCTAAGATGTCCATTAGCTCGATATAACAGTCGAAGTCCAGAAGCACGTTTGAGATATCGCAGAATACGAGTAATTGCATCTTAATGTGATACTCTAGGACACCCCATGAATTGACTTACTATACTGATTGCATAGGAAATATCCGATCGAGTAATAGTGAGATAATTGAGCCTCCCAACCAATCTGCGATACCGACCTGGATTCTCAAATAGTGCACCATCATCCATCAAAAGTTTCAGATTCGGATCCATAGGAATAAGTCTACCACCGAGCAAACCTGCTTCCTCAAGCATGTCAAGTACATATTTCCTCTGGGATAAACAAATACCCTATTTAGATCTAACCACCTCAATACCCGAGAAATACCTAAATTTTTTCCAAATCCTTAGTATGAAATCGATCTTGTAAAAATGCTTTTAACTTGGCAATTCCCTCAGAATCATTTCCAGTAATCACAATATCATCTACATAGACCACTAATAGGACTTATCTAACATTTGTCTGTCTATGAAACACAGAATGGTCTGTCTGACATCGAAGAAGACCAAACTCTAAAACTACATCTGAAAACTTACCAAACCATGCCCTCGGTAATTGCTTCAAACCATACAAAGATTTCTTTAACCGACATACACTCTTACCATACTCCCCCTGAGCAATAAACCCAGGTGGCTGCTCTATATATACCTCTTCAACCAAGTCACCATGTAAGAAGGCTTTCTTGACGTCTAACTGAAACAAGAGCCAATCAAGATTAGCAGCTAAAGAAATCAATATACGAACAGAAGAAATTTTGGTAACAGGAGAAAAAGTTTCCTCATAATCAACATCATAAGTCTGAGTAAAGCCCTTTGCAACAAGCCGAGCTTTGAGACGCTCCACAGAACCATCTGGATGAAATTTAACAGTATACACCCAACGACAGCCAACAATTCGTTTACCAGGAGGTAAAGGAACGAGATCCCAAGTCTCGTTATGATGTAAGGCATCCATCTCCTCCTCTATAGCTTTCCTCCAACCCGGATCAGATAATGCATCCTGTACATGCTTAGGAATAGATATAGCAGATAATTGGGAAGTAAAATAAGAGAAGACAGAAGACAATGCATCATATGAAACAAAATGAGAAATGAGATGATTAGTAACACACGAACGAGTACCTTTGCGAAGAGCAATAGGTAAAGAGTCTAAATTACCTGATGTACCAGGGTCAGAAGGCGACAAGGAAGACAGTACAGACACCTCAGTGGATGGGCAAGGACGACGAGAGTAGACACAGAGAAGTAAAGTAAATGATAACACAGTGGGCATCGGGACATCTGAAGATGAGGAAAGAGATAGTGGTACAAGAGATGACCCAAAGTCCAAATTCAAAGGCTGAGAAGGTGCTGAAAAATATGGAATAGATTCTTCAAACGTGACATCGGCACTAGTAAAGTATCGATGCAGAGAAGGACTGTAGCAACGATACCCCTTCTGCGTACGGGAATAACCGAGAAATACACATTTAGTAGCTCGAGAGTCAAGTTTATCAAATCCAGGACCCAAATTATGAACATAACAAACACATCCAAAAAGCTTAGAAGTCAGGAAAAATAAGAGCTTACCAAGAAAAAGGATAGAATATAAACTTTGGCCATTTAACACAGAGGATGACATACAATTAATAAGGTGACAAGCAGTAAGAACAGCATCACTCCAAAAATATCGGAGAATATTCATCTGAAATAATAGGGCACGGGTGACTTCCAACAAATGACGGTTCTTGCGTTCAGCAATACTGTTCTGTGGAGATGTGTAAGCACAGGAAGTCTGATGAATAAGGTCAGCTTTATTAAGATAAGCTGAAAAAGGATCGGATTCATATTCCTAAGCATTATCAGAACGTAAAATATAGATACGACAATCATACTGAGTTTTTATTTTCTTACGAAAGGTCTCAAATATAAGAATAATTCAGACCGAACTTTCATCAGAAATAACCAAGTCACACGAGAATAGTCATCCACAAATGACACAAAATAAGGATATTTATTAGATGAAATATTCTTTATTAGACCCCATACATCATAATGTACCAACTCAAATGGATTAGACACACGATTATTGACTCGAGACTGAAATGACACACGGTGATGCTTACTAAGTTGACACGCTTCACAAGACAAAGACGACACGGAACTAAAACTGGGAACTTGGCATTTCAGATTCTGAAAAGAAGAATGTCCAAGACGACAATGCCACTGAAAAGGAGACAACGAGAT